GTGGGCGGGGGCAGGTGGAGAGTGGCGATCCGGGGGGCGACCTGCGCGGCGTTTTTGGGCGCTCTCGTTGGCCCTTTTCGTTTCGACTTCGGTTTGCGCAGCAGCGGCAGATCGGAGCCAAATCGAGGGACAAGGAAACACAGCACGAAAACGAATGGGCACCGTCTTGGTCGAGCCCCGTGGCGATCGGGCGGCGCGGGGAGGACGAGGAGGAGGCGCGACTCCGGAAGTAGCCACTTGGGCTCGAGGCCCGAGCGGCCCTGCGGGCAGGCGGCAGCGCCAGAGCCCAGGCCCCGCTCTTAGGCGGGGCCGCGCGAGCCTCTCGCCGGGCCTCTCGCGCCCTGGCCGCGCCTCGCCGCCATGTCGATCTCCGTCCAGAAGCAGATCAAGGACAACGCCACGGAGGTGTCGACGTACTTCTCCGACCTGTACAGCTGGACGGAGGAGCAGGGCAAGCGAGAGACGCGGCGCCAGGGCCGGCCCACCGCCGACCTGGCGGCCGCCGCCGCCGCGGGAGCCGGCGGCGAGCCCGCGGCGCCCTCCGCGGCGGCGGCGAAGGCGGAGGAGAGGAAGCTCTCGCTGCAGCGGGACGGCACCGCGATGCCGAAGTACTACCACGACTGGGACCGGGTGGACGTCGACAAGCTGGCCGAGGACCTCGACGAGGAGGCGCGGCGGCAGCAGCAGGCCGAGAGGGCGGCGAGGCAGGCGCAGAAGGACAGCATCCTGGACGACCTGGCGCTCAAGGGCGACGGAGACAGGATCAGGAGGGGAAAAAACTCACAGACCCAAGTCATATCGTCGATCCCCCGGGAAGATATGGGAAACTATGGACAGGGGTGGGAAGACGAGAACCAAGAGAAAGATGGGAACACATTCACCAGAGAAAAAAAACAACCAGTGGACGAGAAAGAGATCGAGAAGGAGATCGACCGGGAACCGGGGAACCCGGAACCCACCGAAGTCGGACTGGAACCAATGCCCAGGAACCCGGGGACCCAGAACTGGGAACCCGGGATCCTTGGGAACCCGGGAACCCTGCCGGCCACCAAGATCGGCGGGAAATGTTCGCCAACTCCTTCCATTTCCGCTATAGGACCCCTTCAGTGCAAGCACGGATTGGAGAACATGGGGGTCTTGGGGTTTGTTTACCAGCCTGGAACATATCCCTGTCCCTATGTTTGGCATCACCTCACCTCGATGCCGATCTTACGGATTCCCTCAGTGTTTAAGGGCCTATCACTAAGATTGCCCTCGCTTTTTGCTCGCCCATCTTAGGGATAGGGATACGTTCGAGGAGGAGGAGGAGGAGGAGGAGGAGGAGGAGGAGGAGGAGGAGGAGGAGAAAGAAGGAAAGAAGAGAAAGGAAAGAAGAGAAGAATAGAGAGAGATAGGAAGCACGAAGGAAGAGAGACATAGGACGAGAAGGAGGAAGACAGGAGGAAGGAGGAGAAGGAGGAGGAGGGACGATGGGGGGGACGAGGAGGAGGAGGAGGAAGAGGAGGAGGAGGAGGAGGAGGAGGAGGAGGAGGAGGGCGGAGGAGGAGGAAGAGGAGGAGGAGCAGGAGGAGGAGGAGGAGGAGGAGGAGGAGGAGGAGCAGGAGGCGCAGGAGGCTTACCTGGGCCCCTGCAGCAGGAGCCGCACCTCCGCGGCCAGGCCGCGGGTGAAGGTCGCGGTGCGGGCCAGCGGCCGCCGCGTGGCACCGGTGGACCTCGCGGCCCCCAAGAAGGAGGAGCAGGGGCAGCGACAGGGGGGGGGGGGGACAGGCTCTCCTTTGCCTCCTCCTCATCCTCCTCTTCCTCCTCTCCTCTTCCTGTCCTCCTTTTGCCTCCTCATCCTCCGCCTCCTCCTCCCTCCTCATCCTCCTTTCGCTCCTATCCCTATTCCGCCTCATCCTATTCCTCCTCTCCTTTGCCTCCTCCTCCTCGCCTCCTCCTCCTCCCCCTCCTTTTGCCCTCCTCCTCCTTCTCCTCCTCCTCCCACCCCTCATAACCTCATCTCTCTACTCCTCCTCCTCCATCGACCCCCGATCGCCCACTGATCGCCGATGTGGGGGGCCCGATCGCCCCCCATCCCTCCCAGGAAGGCGCGGTCCCCGATCGCCCACTGATCGCCGATGTGGGGGGCCCGATCGCCCCCCATCCCTCCCAGGAAGGCGCGGTGCCGCCGTCGGGGACCTAATCATGTCGCCGATCTCGCGGCGCTGCGCCGCGGATTCTGGGTCGGTGCGCCCTCCCCCGCTGTGCCGCAGCTTCCTCCTTCTCCTCCTCCTCCTCCTCCTCCTCCTCCCTCCTCCCTCCCCGGGACGTCCTGGGCAGCTGGGACGTGCGGCTGTTCGGCGCAAGCTGAGCGGCCGCGGGCAGGCACGCCAGTGCCCCACCCCCCTACGCCCTTCCGGAGGGCCTGGGCCGTGCGCAGGGCAGCGTCTACAGAGTCGCTCAGCGGCATTCGGAGACGGCCCCTGCCTTGTGGGGCAGGGGCGTGCACGGACGAGGGCTCGCCCTGTCGCCGGCGGCCAGAGGAGGGCCTGCCGTTGAGATTCCGGGTTTGGGATCCCAGGCCCGCTGGGGAAGAGGCCGCGCGACGCGCTGGGCTCCTTTGCGCGCGGGGTTCCTTGACGCTTCGTGCCTTTCTCCCTGCACCCCAATCTACACTGGTGTGCAGCGATCTGCCGACGCCTGGTTGCTGGCTCCCCTTCCGGAGGGGGAGCCTGGGCATGAGTCGCGCGGATCCCCGCCGGTGTGTTGCGGGGGGGTCGGTTCGTCGTCGTTTTCTTCTTCGGGGGGCTCGCCCGAAGCTGGTTTTTAATAGCTTAATTCCCGCTGGCACCGAAGCGTGTCCCTTACATGACTTTTCATTGTGACAGCTGATATCCCTGACTGCTGTTGGCGACGTGGCCACCGCCTTCGACTCGGGAGGGGACTTTCTTCCCCCCTGGCACACAGACGGGGGCCAGTACCAGTGCGGCAGCCACTAGTCTCCTCCTCGGCTGCTGGTCGCGCTGCCTGGCTTTGTTTTTTGACTCTGGCTAGGCTTTGCGTGGCCAGATTCTTCCAAACCTTTAACTATTCGCGCTTCGTGCGAGGGCGGCTAGGCGTCGCACAGCATGCTCGCCCTCAACACTCCCCCCGACATCCTCGGCTTAAATCGGGCATGTCCCTCTACAGGAGGAGTATACAAACATAGTAAAACATAGTCTTGGGCGATTTCTTCATCATTTTTGAATACGTTTGAATTTTGCTTCTATTTCTGGACAATTTTTCTTTCTCCGTCCAAACTCCGCTTCTAGGAGGACATGCCCGACCTAATCGTCGGCCCCCAGAGGAGGCCAACCGGTACCTCGCGGAGGGCAGGCACCGGGAGGCGGTGGCCACGTACACCGCGGCCCTGGAGCTGCTGGAGAGGTACGAGCCGCCCGGCGAGGCTGCGGCGCAGGCGACCCCCGCGGCCGAGCCCGGGGCGGAGAGGCCAGAGGCCCAGGCGGGGGACTGCGCGGGCGAGAACACCGAGGCGGTGCTGCTGAAGACGGCGCTGCTGGCCAACCGCTCCCTCGCGCTGATGAAGCTGGAGGAGCTTCCGGGGGTCGGGGAATATCGGACCGCTCCCGGCGCAGTGACGGGGAGGAGGTGCCTATACTGCCGCTGCCATGCCCTCGTGGTCGCGTCTTTTGGGGGCTTCCTGGGAGGCCCTCGCCACCGCCGCTGGATGCGCATCGAAGCTTTGGTCGCAACGCACCTCGGGAGAGGTCCCGGGAACAACGGTAATTATCGGTACCTTCTGGTTTCCTCCTCGGCGGCGGGATCCAAACCATACCTTCGCCGATCAGCGGCTCAGGCAGCTCCATGGGCGGCGGGGGGGGAGTAGGGTTCGGAAGCCGTGGCGGCATCCGAGCCCTGCCCGACCCTCCCATCGGTTCATGACAACCGATGATTGGAAGTGGAGGAGGAGGAGGAGGAGGAGGAGGAGGAGGAGGGGGAGGAGGGGGAGGAGGAGGAGGGGAGGAGGAGGAAGAGGAGGGGAGGAGGAGGAGGAGGAAGGAGGAGGAGGAGGAGGAGGAGGAGGAGGCGGGGGCAGGGTTCGGATGTCGCCACCCACCACTGCCATATAGCCCCCTCTCCAGGGGGAGCGACCTTTTCGGGGGCCTCGGCGGGCGGGGTGCGTGTGGATGCCTGCGGGCCCTGGAGGGAGGGGGGCAAGCGTGTCCATGCCCACCGCCCGTCGAGGTCCCCGAAGAGATCGAGCCCCCGGGTGGCAGTGATGGGCAAGTCCCCGGGCGTGCGGCGTCCTGTGTTTTCCGACAATTACGGGATACCTGGAAGTCCCGACCCTTTGCTTACAGTGGAGACCCCTGCCAAGCAAGGCCATGCTTGCTTTCAGGGTGCCCTGGGCTTCTTGGGCTTCGATGGTTTTGCAATCGGAAGCGTGGCGTTCCCACACCAAGAATCACTGGTTGTCCCGGGGTCTCAGGGTTGCGTTTCTTGTGGTTTCTTGCGGACTGGCCTCCACCGTATGGCCAGTTTTCCATCCCGTGTCTCTTGACGGTCCTGGGGCCCAGCGCGGGCCCCAAGGGGCTGAAAGTTCCCCCAGAGGCCGAAAGTAGCCAAGAACTTTCCGTCAAGATTTTTCGCTGCGCTGAAACAGTACATGGTTCTTTGGGTTTTCTTTGTAACTCTGTTGGGAGTTATCCGCCTGGGTCAGAGTGTTATCGGAAGTTGTTGTTCCCTGAACTTGCCCTTCGCCGGCCCTGGGCCCCCAGAAGTCTGAGCCGTATCAATCTAGGCCTCCTAGAAGGGGGGTTGGAGTAGATGGGGTCGGAAGATCGCGCCGCATCGCGATGCATCGCCGATGCCGCTCGATGCCGGCGACGCATCGCCGATGGAGCGCGATCCTCCGATTCTATCTACTCGGACCCCTATCAAGCAGGCCTCTAATCAATCAGCAGGCGAGCGAGACGCGATATGTGTTATGGTAGCCATGGAAACCAGAAGCAAGCCCGAAGGAGGCACTCAAGAGGAAGCTATCCGCAGGAGAGTTTCCAGACGACACCAGCTCACAAGGTTGCGACACAAGGCATTTCACAGCTCGCTCCACACTGCAGTCGAAGTTTCGGATACGACAGTACGATGACATAAGATCATAACGCGAACCCGTCTGGGGTCGGCGGTGACGCCCAGGCCCCCCGCGCCTCCGCAGGAGTGGCGGGACGCCGCCGCCGACTGCACGGAGGCGCTGCGCTTCGACCCGCAGCATCACAAGGCCACCCTGCGGCGCGGCTTCGCCCACGCCCGGCTGAAGCTGTGGGCGCGGGCGGCGCTCTGGGAGGGCAAAGCGCGCCGACCATGGCCAGGATGTCGCCGGGTCCTGTCGACGCCGATCCTGGTCGCGGTCCATGGAGACAGTTTGTTTCTGCATTATTATCATGATTAGTATTTCCAGGCTGATGGTGATTATTAGTGTTACCGCCATTCTTGTTTCTTCGTAGTATTACTCTTACTACTAGTATTATTCATATCATCTTCGTTTTTATCTTATTAATTGTATTATTTAATCGCTTCGCTCATTCCGCCGGCCCTGGAGCGCTATTTGGGGCCTCTTGGGGCCGTTTTGGGGGGCTTCTTGGGGGCTTTTTGGGAGCGTCTTGGGGCTCCTTGGCGGCGTATTGGGCTCCCCTGGGGCCTCTTGGGGGGCTCTTGGGGGCCCCTTGGGGCGGGAGGAGGGGTAGTCGTTGGCAGCCCCCCCCCTCGGAGGCCACGATCTTCGTGAGGGATGGCGAAAAATAGCCTCCCCCCTGGGGATCGCCCGGGGGTCAGCCGGGGATCGGCCGGGGTACTTTTCGTCCGGGGCCCCCCAGGGGCCGCCCCGCGCGCGAACCAGAAATATTGTTACGTAGTTACCGGAGATCTTAGCACGCCTCTGGCCCGTTGGGCTGGCGAATTATTCATATGGATACCACTACCACCACTGATCGTACTTCTCTTATTCGTAGTCGTAGCACTCATCTGTTTAGTATCCTTATTGGTTATCATCAATTCGTCTTATCGTTTGTTGTGTTTAGTTTGATTAGTACTATTATTCGTGTTGCCATTATTCTTGTTAACATTACCGTCGCCGTCTTAATACATATATAAATCTGTCCTAACAGCAAACATTAGTTTAATTGTTTGCAACACCCATGGACAAAACGGGCGTCACTGGGGAAGGAGTGCGATCACGTCACGATGCGCGCTGGCGCTGTCCTGGGGAATTGCCTGAGGGCGTTTGTTTTTTGGACGGCGCCAGCGCGAGTCGTGACGCGACCAGAGCGGGGAGGGGGGGGGGTCGGCGGGGCTGGTCACGGGTGTTAGCGTGAATAATCAAAAAAGGCTCGTGCTGGCCGTAGCCAATCCGCGTAGAGGACCCACATCTAGACGATGACCAAGACGGACGAATTACGTGGCCTTTCCTGGGAACATTGTCCCCCCCGTGCGCCGACTCGAAAGTGTATCCTCTTTCTCTGCCCGACGCTTGTGGCCATTTAGGCTAACGCGCTAGGCCTATTTTGCGTATCGGTTGGGCGCAGATGGTGGCCTTTCGGCCATGCTCCCTCGACGTCGCGCGGCGGCGGTTCAGCAAGGTGCTTCACGGCTACAATCTCTTCGGCCCGCGCCTTTCGCTCCAGACGAGCGAGCTCGAGTCCGAGGGAAAGTTCGAGCAGTTAGCGGTGGCCGCGGACCTCAGCGTGGGGGAGGCGCGACGGCTGCTGAGGGAGTTCGTGGACCAGGCACTGGCCGAAGAACCAGTGCAGAAACGGTTGACGGCGCTCCATGGCTGCCCTGCACGGGCCTTGCTGGAGGGCGCCGTGGCGAACCTCGTGGCGGCGGCCGTTCGAGGAGTGCCTGAGGCCCCACCGCCGCCAAAGGGGCGTGCGATGGTGGGGGCCCGTTTCGCGCAGAGGTTCCGCGCTGCATCGGGGGGAGTCGTCGCTGACTGGGCACGAAAGTAGGCTCGCTGGTAGCCCCGCTCGATCACAGTGTTCTAGGAGAGGGGAATGCCTTCGCTGGAGACGGCGCGGTGTTGCATGGACCCGGAGCGAACAAAGGCCGGAATCACGGGCCGCGCTCGCATCAACACGGTAGGTCGCCGGTGCGAACCATGGACAAGATGCGCAGGTGGTTCTTGCGCGCGCGTGGTATCCCGTGGCCCGTGACGATCGTGCACTTCATCGACTGCGTGCGCACAAGGGCGGCCGAGCCGTGCGGACAGACGGTTCCCGACCAGGCCTTGGGCGCCTTGGCGTGGACGGACCGGGTGGCCGGCGTAGACCAGAACGACAGACGTTCCGCTCGGCCCGAGGCCCAACGTGGCATTGCGAACGTGGAGATGTTTCTCGGTGCTGGCAAAGGTCCGACGGCGACAGCAGCGCGGTTCCCCGGCGAATTTCCTGAGGCGTTGGAGCTGCCAGTCGTGGACGAGGACCTCGCGAGGTACTTGCGCGGGGTGGCATAGCTCCGCCTTGTCCAGGTGAAGGTGAAGGCGGTGCTGCGGTGCGACCGACGACCACAGCTGGCGCCAGCCCCATCGCCTCGCCTTTGCGGGCGGGGGTTGACGGTCGTGCTGGGCGCGCGAAGAGTAGCGGGGCGGGGCGTAAGATGCTGAGCTGTCGCTAGTGGCATCCAGCGAATGTTACTTGCTGGGCCCGGCATGGACGCAGACGGGCTTCGACCTGTGGCAGGACATCGCGGACTTCGAAAGGGGCTGCATCTTGCTGCGGCGCGATATGCAGGGCAGGAGGTGGCCCGCAAGCCCGCTGGGTTCGCAGGGGCAGCGGTGTCGGGCCAGGAGGTGCCCCGGAGGATGCTGCAGGCAGCGGCCTGTGCGGGCGCGGAGGTCGAGCTTCTCGCCCCCGAGGACGTAGTGAGCTTTCTGGGCGGAGCACTCGGAACGTGCCGCCATCCTCTCGGCCGCGGCGGCGATGGAGAGCCCGCGGAACGAACGCGACCCCGTGGGCAGGAGGTCGCCAGAGGGCGCGGGCACCTGCGCGAGGGCGCGCCGCGCTGTCGCTTCGCCCGCCAGCGGTGCGCGGAGGCGCTGCTTTTTGGGAAGGCCTGCGCAGGCATGGGCGAGGCGGCGGCCGTCCCAGACGCGGGGAACTGGCCGGTGCCGAGGAAGAACTTCTCGGGGCAGAAGGCGCCGAACGTGGCTGCTGAGACCCGCGCGCCCCTCGAGGCCTGCGCCGGTCGGGCGGCCGCGGCGCCCGAAGACGACGCGGGGGCGCCGTTTCCAGAGGCTGCCGTCGAAGATGCAGACGGGGGCGCCGCGCCGCCGACGGGGGCAGCGACGCCCCAGCGAAGAGCGCAGGGGGCAGAGGGCGGCCGCGACGGCGTCGACGACGGCAGCTGGGTGAATTTCTAGTTCGGAGATGGAGGGCGGCATCCCCCACCGAGAGCAGGGGCGCCGAGAAATTCGGCTGCTGATTGCCTCATCGCGCGCGCAGCAGCGCAAGGTGGCCGGGGTCCACGACGCGAAGGGCCGTGGCTGGACTTTCGGCAGGTCGCCGCTGAACGCGACCGACGTCGACGACGTGCCAGACCCGAAGGAGCATTATATGGTCTGCCAGAGATGCCAGCGCCTCTTCTCGGCCGAGATGACGACGGCATCGGCTAGGGGCTCGCAGTTTTCATCGAGTTTCTCGAGTTCCGAGGGGCCGGGCGAAACCGTTCAAAGGCCTTTGGGGGCCAGCTGAGGAGGGCGCCGGTGGCTGCGGGCCCCGCGCGACCCGTCGGGGCGGAAGCGCGCGGGCCTGGCGACGCGGCAGCGGAAGCGGGCGGGACCCCGCGCGACCCGTCAGATCTGGGGCCCCGCTCAGGCGGGCCACTTGGCGGCGCGCGGCAGCGGGTTCCGCGCAACCTTTCGGGTCGCGAGTCGCGCCGGCGCGCGGGCGGGCCGCTGGCCGCGGCGCCGGCCGCGGCGCGGCCAGCGTGAGCCCTGCGTGGGGGCGTTGTCGGCGCTGTCGTGGGATAGCCCCGAACGCCCGTCAGCTTGCGGGCGCCCCCCCGCGTCGGAGGCGCCCGCCCCGCCCCTCGGGCTCCTCAATTGCGGGCGAGGGGGGCCGCGGTGGTGACGGGCGTCGTCGCGCTGGGCTGTGTCCCGCGGCGGGCGGGCAGGGCTGCGGGGCTGCGCGGCCCGTCGCCGCGGCCCCGGCGAGCCCGCGGTGTCGCCGCGCGGCCTGCGTCCGTTTGGCCCGAGCGACTTCGCTAGATCAGGACGAAGGCCTGCTTGGTCTCCGGCGCAGTCCGCCCTCGGCTTCGCCCGCGCGGCCCGGGGCGAGGGGCAGCAAGGCGGCGCGCCGCCGAAGGCGCTCGCGCAGGAGGGGCGGGGTGGGCAGTGCGCGCGCGTCGCCGAACTCCGGCCTGCGCTTCCTCCTCGCGATGGAGGGCGCGCCGCTGTGCGCGCGGGCGCAGCTGCGCGTCTGCGGCGCGACGAGCTCGGGAATGCTTTCCGCTCTGATGAGTTCAGGCGAGGGCGTCGCGGGGTTCGCCGAGGACGCGCTCGACGCGGGCGCGACGGCATGGGCGGGGCCGCGCGCGAAGGTCGCAACGCTGGCGCGCGCGCGGCAGGCGGCGCGCGCGCGGGCCCAGCAGCGGTGGGAGATGGAGGGCGAAGCTGACGCGCGCCAGTTGGCGAAGCCACTGAGCGTAGCTGATCATCGGGCGACGCGGCTGACCATCGAGAAGGCACGCTGGGCGCTCGAGTAGGGCCGGGCGCCGGAAGTACCCCCGGGTAGACGGGTGTCGAGCGGGGCGAAATCCAGGCGGAGGCGCTCGCGGCAGTCTACTCAGCCGAGGATGACGAGGGCCCCGACTTCCCGGCAATGGTCCGGCCCAGCACGGGGGCGATGCAGTTCGGGGTGGCAGCGACCGCCTCGTCTAGTCCCCGCGGGGCCAGGAGGCGTTGCGGAAGCGCCGTGCGTTCATTGGCATGGGTATTTTCATGCTCAGTCAGTGCCGCGCGAACCTGCAGGTGTTGCGCGGCGGAAGTCCACGGGGTTCCCAGTCGCATTTGGATTATGTGCTCGGGGAGCACGTCTGGAGACTGGCGGCAACGAGCGCGCGGGGCGACGTGTCCGCCGTGGAACCAGGCGCTGCAGCGCGAGCAGCAGGAACGGAAGAAGGCGCGGCAGCTGGCGCAGCAAGAACGCATGCGCGCATGCGGTTTCACGCGGCGCTCTGGAGGACGATGAGCGATTGGTCTAGAAGCGGTTTTTTGAAACCGCCATCGCACCGCTCTTTGGGTCTTCTTTCCCCGCCCGGCGATCTTTGCCATTCGGGGTTAGGCGCTCGGCCGATTTGGCGCAAACCGCCTTCATCCGCCCCGGGGCATCAAGTTCTCGGGATTGGTTGGGGCCCCGCGCGCAAAGCCCTTGGATCCGCCACCCGCCAAAAACGCATCCACGCCATCCCCGGCCCTTTGTTGCCATCGCGGCGCTAGTAGGACCATTCGGGGATGTGCTTGTCATGTCGTCCGTTATGGTATTTCGTGGCTCAGTGGCTACTCGCAGAAGCTGCGCCGTCGTTTTTGTTGCCGCGCTCTGCTCACAAGACCCCATTGACCTGGATAGGTGCCCAGAGTCTGGTCAATTGCTGAGAGTATCCTCGTGGCTGCCGCCGCCTAGTCCCACCGCCGCCGCCCAGATGATCGGCGAGATCCGTTGCGCCGTGAAATGCGCCAATATGTATATATGTCTCGCCCCTCTTCGGATCGCCTGTCGTGGGATTTGCGCAACGCCGAGTTTCCATAGTCCTCGGGGAGGCTGTGTCTTTGGTTGCCCCAACCCCGACGACGAGAGAATGGGCCTAGATGGCGCGTTGCATTGCAGCGTGTGCCCTCGGTGGAAAGAACTCCTCAGACGATGGTTGGGACAGGTTGTGGATTGTTCCGACGCCATCCCCTTGCTCATTCACCTCGCTCTCACGCAGTCTCCTCAGGCTGTGCTCTGCTGCGCGTCTGTGCGCGGGGCTTTTTTCACGCCCGCTGCCGGAGAACGAGTGGTCAGCACTGCCGAGCCTGAAGCTCTTTCTGAAGCACGCATTCGGCTGCGCTGCTGGAGGCATCGCGCGCTCCAGAAGGGCGCGGTACGACTGCAGAGGGGGATCTGACGGTCGAGCTGCTCCGGAGGGAAAAGAAGGCTCAGTGGCTCCTCAAAAACGCTCGCTCTGAGTGGCGCCCTCGTTCCTCTTCCCCTTCCCCTCCCAGCGATCGTCGCCATCCTTGTCCTCTTCGTTCCGCCGCGCGCATCCCAGGAGATCGGCCGATCGCGGCGGCCGTGCGCGCTCGCGTGCCGCCGTGGTGCTCCTATGTGCCGCTGCGTGCCGTTTGGGTGCCTCCAGTTTGCCGCTGGGTGCCGCTTTTATCGGAGGTGGACAGAACCCCCAAAAGCGACACGTCGATTAGTGAATTGTCCGTTTTCGGTTCTCGAGAGGGCGCCGTGGCCGTTATTTTCCAGGCTTGCGCCCGCCAGGTTTGGGCCTCAGGTCGTTTTCACTAAACCACGTTTTGCTAAAGGGAGGTCTGTCCATCCCCGAACTTAGCTGGGTCGGAGAGCACTGGTGGGTCCAAGGTCCCAGGGCAAAAGGCCACATCCATCTCCGCGTTCAGTCATGGTTTGGCCCATGGCGGCCGTAGCCGAGTCGCGACGATGACCCACGGATTGGCGATGACCAGCAGCCGAAGAGGAAAGACCAGCATAAACATCAATGTTGGACGGTCTTCGCGTGTTTCTTGGATCTGCGCTGTGGCCCCTTCCATGGTGCGGAACGCGCCTGGGGCGGCGCCAGGGACGCCGCCACGGGTGTCTAGCGCAGATCCAAGAAATCCACGCGGACCGTCCAAAGTCTATGTTTGTGCAGCGTATTTTCTTTGCACGGATGGGCGATCATCAAGTTCGAGTTAAATTGTTCTACCCAGGGGTCGGAAATGAGGGGCCGTCCCCCTTCACCCAACGTTGCCCCATGGGTTTCAGGTCACAATTCAGTTCCCCGGCGGCCGTTCGGGACGATCCGGGCACCCCCGGAATGTTCTCGACAAGGCGCAGTTGCTGAAACGAATCCCAAGGCAGGAAAACCTTCGAGAACCGCCGAACACGTCCGAGACCCGAGTGTGGAACCTCGAGGTCGAAGTCGTCCAGTTGAGCGTTCCGTCTTGGCCATAGCAGCGACCGCCCCAGGGGAAGGGGGGGCGACAATCCAAGGGGAAGGGGGGGCGTGGTTGCGTTCGAACCGAATTCACGAGCTGACAAAGGCAGCGATAGGCGGAGGAGGAGGAGGAGGAGCAGCAGGAGGAGGAGGAGGAGGACGAGGATGACGGCGGAGGAGGAGGAGGAGCAGGAGGAGGAGGAGGAGGAGGGCGAAGGAGGAGGAGGAGGACGAGGAGGAGGAGGAGGAGGGGAGAAGGAGAGGAGGAGGAGGAGGGGGGGGAGGGGGAGGGGAGGGAGGAGGAGGAGGAGGATGATGAGGTGAGGAGGAGGAGGAAAGAAGAGGAGGGGAGGAGGAGGAGGAGGACGCTCCCCGGGGCCCTACAACGTATAGCATGAAGCGACAACCCGGCCCCCTGGGAGCGGGCACGCGCGCCGGGCACTTGCCCCACTGCCAGCGCCCTACTCGGGACTGCTCATGCCTGCCCTTTGCCCGGTGCTTCGGCACCAACGCGCCCCACTTGGGTGCGCCTCAACCAGAACCAACCAGGAGGAGGGCGCAGGAGGAGGAGGAGGAGGAGGAGGAGGACGAGGAGGAAGAGGGCGGAGGAGGAGGAGGGCGCAGGAGGAGGAGGAGAAGGAGGAGGAGGACGAGGAGGAGGCCGTGGCCACCACTTCCCTCGATTTTCAATCCTCGATCCTCGATCCTCCTCGATCACCCTCGATCCTCGATCCTCCTCGCCTCTCCTCGATCCTCCTCGATCCTCCTCGATCCTCCTCGATCGTCCTCGATCCTCCATTCTGTCCCCTCTCCCCTGGCAGGTGCCAGACCTGCGGCGCGCCGTCGCGGGGGACCCCGGCGACCGGCGGGCCGCGGCCGAGCTGCAGATGGCCTGCCGCATGCTGGAGGAGCAGAGCGCCGCGTGCCGGGAGCACGCGAAGAGGCCGAGGGCGTGGGGCGAATATGTGCGGTCGGGATTCCCGGACATCCGGCGTCTCCTCCTCCTCCTCAACCTCCTCCTCCTCCTCCTCCACCTCCTCCTCCTCCTCCTCCTCCTCCTCCTCCTCCTCCTCCTCCTCCTCCTCCTCCTCCTCCTCCTCCTCCTCCTCCTCCTCCTCCTCCTCCTCCGCCTCCTCCTCCTCCTCCTCCTCCTCCTCCTCCTCCTCCTCCTCCTCATCCTCCCCAAGAGGCCTCTGACGCCCGAGATGGCCTCCAATTCTGCCCCGAAGCGCCTCAAGAGGACCCCACATCGGTTCAGAGAGGCCCCCAAGACGGCGTCAGACCCGTCAGACGGGCCAGGAACGCGATACAGTCTACAGTCGGCCCTGATTAGTAGGTCGACCCTGCCAAAATCCAGGGTACCCTTAGGTACCTTTGTGTCCTGTGCCTCGCGACCCATGACTCCTACATCCCCCATGGCAATGTGCCCCTCGGACGGGTCATGTGTCCTCTCGCGTGTCCTCTCCAATCAAGTCCGACTGTAAGCGTCGGGGGGGCGTCACCCCCGCCGGCAGCCCCACATCGGCCCCCGTCGCGGGCGTCCACCGCGCGCCAAAGGCGCCTCGACCCCCCGTCGCGGCGCGACGACGAGGTGAGGTTGGCCCCCGTCGGGGGGGGTACCCCCCCACGCTTACTAAGGAACCCGGAGGAAGTTTCGGCCTCTCAGGGCCCGTACCAGGCCTTGGGGCCGTCAAGAAGCAGCTATCGGGATGAAGAGCCGGTCCCAGGGAAGTGGTTGAGAGGTCGGGGGCCCGCGTCTAAAAAAAAAATCGAAAAGCTGGAGGTCTGGGTTCCAGGGGGTGCCAAGAGGTGCCCCTGGCCCGAGGTGCCCCCGGCTGTGCGCTCGATTTTTGGAACCCCTTGGGGCCCTCTCTGTGCTGGGGTGCTCTTGAGGCCGTGGGGGCCTCCTCGGAAGTCCTCGGGGCACCTTGGGCCAGCGGCATTTCTAGCAACATCCGAAAATTGGTACGGAAAGAGTGGGTACGACGTCAGAGCAGGAAAAGGTTCCCATGCCGCTACCGTTCCCTCGTTTTCGCCTTTTGGGGCCTCCTGGGTGGCCCTCGTCGCCACCGCTGGATTCGCCTCGAAATTCTGTTCAGAACGCCCCCCGGGAGATGTCCAGGGAGCAGCGGTATCGATACCTTTTTGGTTTCTTCTGGTATATGAAGGTGGACAGCAGCCCCTGCTCGTTTTGAAGAGGGCTCGGTGTCGGCGGCGCTGCGGGCGCTGTCCAGTAAAGACAGAAGGCCGCCTGCCCCAGAAAGCGGCCGCGGTCGGTTCTGGACAATATTTGTTGGTGGGCATTGTGCCCATTTTCCCGTACACATCTCGGGCGTCTAGAGCGAGCGGCACAAGGTCGGGAGTTTTCGAGGAGGCTTCTCGAGGTTCGAGAGGTGTGTTCAGCGACCGTCGACTTTCGGAGGTCCGCGCGGATGTCTCGGATCGGGTCTCCTCATCCTCCTCCTCCTCCTCCTCCTCCTCCTCCTCCTCCTGCTCCTCGTCCTCCTCCTCGTCGTCCTCCTCCTTCTTCTTCTTCTCCTCCTCCTCCTCCTTCTCCTCCTCCTCCTCTTCCTCCTCCTACTCCTCCTCCTCCTCCTCCCCCTCCTCCTTCTTGGCGCGCGGAGCACGCCTCCAGCCAGGGGGGGTCCAGCGCCGATCCGAGAAGCCCTTGCGGACCTCCAAGAGTTCATGCTCATGCAGCTCAGCTGTCCTGATACGCGCGCGCAGCACTGCGAAGAGACGACCCAGGATGCAAAGCCGGTCCCAGGGAATGGGGCGCGAGACATCGGGGGGTCACGGTATATGAACAAATCAGGACGTCGGGGGTCTGGGTGTGCAGTCAAGACGCGGAAATCGGGACCAGGTTGGAATGGAAGGGGGCCCCTCTGGTCTTCGGGCTGTTCCTCAGCTCTGGGTCGGGGAAGCTATCCGTGGCCGAGGCTCGCTGTGTCCAGAACAAAGACCCCTCGTTCCTTGTCAGTGTTGCAGTGGGGACCCATGCCAAGAAACACCCTGCTCGCCTCCAGGGTGCCCTGGGTTTCTTGGCTTTCGATGGTTTTACCATGGAAAGCGCGACGTTCCCACACCAAAAATCCATGGACGTTCTGGTGTCTCAGGGTTGGATTTCTTGGGGACGGTTTCTTGTGGTCGGGCCCCACTGTATAGCAGCACGACGGCCGTAGACTTTCGGAGGTGCGCGCAGATGTCTCGGATCGACTCTGGATCACCCCTCCCAGGCGCGCGGAGCGCGCCTCCAGGGGTGGGTGGGTCTGCAGCGCCGATCCGAGAAGTCCGTGCGGACCACCTCCGAGAGTGAGTGCTCATGCAGCTGGGCTGTCCTGACACGCACGTGTTGAAGCGCAGCACCTACCGTGTTCAACACGCCTCACCCACGTGCTGGCCCACGTTGTGGCGCACGTACCGCGCCAGACCTAACGTTGTTCACACTCGCTGCGGGCTGCGTGTCGCGCATCGGGGCAGCTGAGCTCGTGCAGCTCCTCCCCAGCTCAACGACGCCATGATTTGTTCATCACCTCGACCCCTGGAGGCCTCGACCCACTACGTCCCGCGGGCCGGCCAGGGCCCCCCCCCCCCGGAACAAAAGCAAAACACACCCCTCGCGTCGCGACACGACTCCTGTGCCTTGCCCCGCCGCGGCAGGGCCATGTGCGACCCCACGCGCAGCCTCACGATGCCCCTCCGGAAGCTCGCCGTGCGGGTCCACCGCGCCGGCGCCGGCGCCCGCGCCCCCGAGGGCGAGCCGCCCCTCCCGGGCGCCACCGCCGCCGCCACCGCGCAGGTGCTGCGCGCCGCCGCCGCCGAGGTCGACGGCGAGGGCGCGGCCGCGGCCCGGCCGGCGGCCGCGCCCGGCGCCGCGCCCGCGCCGCGGCAGCCCTACGTGCCGCGCGCCGTGCGCATGCGCGGCCGGCAGGCCCAGGGCTCCGACATCGATTAAAACGACGCGAAGATCGGGACAAAATCGGATCGGGATACCTCGAAATCTCTGAGAATCGGCGGGTTCGGAGGATGTATTGGGCGCCGCGGCCGCTCCAGAGCGTTCCGGAACGCTCTGAGAGCGCTCTGGAACGCTCTGGAGCGATTTATCCCGATCCTAGCCCTGTTGTAGCGCAGCCATGCCAACGATTCAGGACGCTTTCGCCCACGAAGCCCGGGCCGGCTGTCTGGCAGAGACGAGGCCTGGATAGGCTGTCTGGCAGGGGAGCAGGCGGAGGAGGAGGAGGAGGAGGAGGAAGAAGGAGGAAGGAGGAAGAGCAGGAGGAGGAAGAGGAAGGAGGAAGGATTTATCCCGATCCTAGCCCTATTTTATCGATGCGCCTCGGCTCCGGTTCGGTCTCCCAGGCACGAGCGCGTCGTATAAAAGAAAAGCAAAAGAGAGATCACGACGGGCGGTTTCGCGCGCCCCTTGCGGCACCGGGGGGGGCCCTCGCCGGGCTCCGCGGGGCCGTCAGAAGACGGCTCGGGATGAAAAACTGGCCCCGGGGAAAGGGTCTGGACTCCCGGGGACGCCGTCCTGAACAAAAAGCAGGACGCCGCGTGTCTGGGGATGGATTCCGATTCCGATGCGATTCGGCATCGGATTCCGACTTGGGGCTCCGATTCCAGAGTGGAGGCCTATATACTATAGTCTGCCGATGCTTCCGCCGATTCGACTTCTCTCCCGACCCGGCTGCCGGTTTCCGCCGATCCGATTCATTTCGAGATCGCCGATCCGACTCAGCGATCCGATTCTGGGCTCCCCGGGCAGGCCGGCCAGTCCGCGGCGATGCAGGCTGCGCTCGTGGGCGGCGGCGCGGCCGCCCCGCCGCCGGCGGGGCCCGGCCCTGGCGCTCGGCCGTCGAGAACACCAGAACCCCTGGCCCGGATGGCACGAGGAAGGCGTGGAGGTCGTCTCTGCAGCTCATAAATCTGGACGGCTTGCTTCGACACATCTGCAAAGAAGACCCCCTGTATCCCTCCTGGTTTTGGCCCTCCTGCCGTATAGGTCCCCTCCCCATGGGGTTAGGCTATGGGGGTTCTTTCTTGGTTATCCACTCGGGGAGCAGGCAATGACAGAAGCGTGCATCCTTCGCCATGGGGAGAAGCGGCGGTCCTGGGGGGAAGCGGGGGTCCGGAGGTTTCTCGCCGCTCTTCCGGGCTCCTCGGGGCCCTCCACGGGCCCCGGGGGACCGTCGGAGGCCGATTTGTTCAGGAGGAGGAGCTGGTCCTGGGGGGAAGGCTCTGGGGGTGCAGGACCCGCTTCCCTCAGGACCCGCTGCCCACGTGCTAGATTCTCGGAGGTCCCCGCGCGGATTTCTGGAATATCGGCGCTGGACCCTTCCCCCCCCGCCTCCCTGGAGAGGCGCGCTCTCCGCGCGCCAGTGAGGGGTGCTCCAGCGCCGATCCGAGGCATCCGCGCGGACCTCCGACAGGCTGTGCCCGTCTCCTTGTTTGCTCCCCCTAGGCGCCGCCGCGCCGGGGCCTTCGGGGCCGCCCGTGATGAACTTCTACACCTTCGCGGCGCAGTGGAACCGGCACGGGAGCTCGGGAGGAGGAAGACGGGTATAGGTCTGTGGAAGTCGATCAATGGAGAGGAAGCGTGCTGCCAAACCACTTCCAGGTGTCTAAAAAATGTTTCAAACATGTTTGGAGTACGTAAACACATGTTTGAACTATGTTTGGAACATGTTTTACACACTTAAACTTTACACATCTTTTATTCAATGATGGGATTGTTTGAGTGTCCATTGTCATGGCATCCACAAGGGTATAGGTGTGCCGATGCCGCCTCTCGTCGCCGCGGCGGGGCTCTCCTCGAGCATCTTGCCGGGAGGCGGCCCGATAGGGGCCAGCGCAGGCACGCGATGCCCCGTTCCCAGACGTGCGACGTCCTGATGTTTTGCAGGAGGGCGTCCCCGGAAGCCCAGACCCGTTCCCCGGGGCCAGTTTTTCGCCCCGAGTCGTTTTCTGACGGTCCCGGGGCCCGGCGAGGGCCCCCCCCCCCCCCCGGTGCCGGAAATAGCGAACACACGCCCGTCCTGATTTTTTGTTCAACGATGCGATCATGTCTTTTTTTTTGTTCCGCTGAAGTCCCGACCCCTGCCCCGGGGCGAACTCTTCATCCCGAGTCGTTCTTGAGAAGGCCCTTCAGATTCCCGACGAGGAGCTCCCAGAGGCCCAACGTGACCAACCATTTTCCGCAGCGTTTCCCTGGCATTAAATCGGGCATGTCCCTCTACAGGAAGGAAGAGCATCCACAAAAACATGGGAACGTTTCCCCGATTATTTTCGGATTGTTTCTAAAAGTTGTTGTTTGAACATGTTTCATGGTTCTTCCAAAAATCCGCCTGTAGGAGGACGTGCCCGACCTAACCCTTGGCGGTTCGGTAGAGGCTTCCAGCAGTGGTGAAGATGACCACAGACGAGCCCCGCAGGGTGGACGGGACGCCCCCCCGGCCGCCTGGTCTGGCAGCCCCGGGTCGCCTGGGGGAGGAGAAAGGAGGAGGAGGAGGAGGAGGAGGAGGAGGAGGAGGAGGAGGGGAGGGGGGAGGAGAAGATGGAGGAGGAGGAGGAGGAGGAGGAGGAGGAGGAGGAGGAGGAGGAGGAGGAGGAGGAGGAGGAGGAGGAGGAGGAGGAGGAGGAGGAGGAGGAGGAGGAGGAGGAGGAGGAGGAGGGGAGGAGGCGGAGGAGGAGGGAGGAGGATGAGGAGGAGGAGGAGGAGGCGGAGGAGCTCTCGGAGGGCTGCTCTGGGGGGGGTGTGGGGGGGCTCCCTGGGCCTCTCTGGGGCGGTATTCGGGGGGCTTCGTAGGCGCCCTCGTGGGGCCGCCGTAGGGGCGCTCCTGGCACGCGACGGCGCCGTCGGAGGCCGTCTTGGGGGCCTCTTCAGGGCCGTCCTTGGGCCCTCTCGGGGCGCCTCGGGGCCGTCTTGAATCGGCGTCACCCCAACATACTTATACTATATCTACGTCGCCCCCCCTCCCCCCCTCCACAGGGGCGACGCGCGCACCGAGAAATCTTAGAGCATATGCGTTGTGGCGGGCGCCTTCTGGCCTCACCGCTCGGGAAACGGCATACTACAAGATGGGTATACTATATGTTCGGGTCGGACGCGCGCGTCCAAGGAGGACATATAGTATTAGTATGTCTCTGTGCGTCCCATTGAAGGTCATCTTGGGCGTCTTGGAGGCCTCTTGGGCCGTCCTGGGGCCCCCTTGGGGCCGTCTTCGGGGGGCCTCTTGGGGCCGTCTTGGGGGCCATCTTGAAGGTCTCGTGGGCGCTTTGGGGGTGATCTTGGGGGCTCTTGGGTCGTCTTGGGCCGTCGGAAGACCGAAGAGAAGCAAACGCCGATGTTCTTCAAACACCTAAGGTGGCCTCTTCGGGCTCTTCTGGAGGACCTCTGGAAGCTTATTGGGCCATCTTGGGAGCCTCTTGAGGGCCTCTTGGGCCGTCTTGGGCCATCTTGCTCGGGCGGACTTGGAGGCATCTTGGACTTTCTCTGGGGCCGTCTTGGAAGCCATCTTGGACCATCTTTGGCGAACTCGGAAGCCATCTTGGGCCATCGTGGCCGTCTTGAAGGTCCTCTAGGGACCGTTGTATGCGGGAAGACCAACTGGCGTTGCCCATTCCAGGTGGCCGGCGCGCTGGGTCGAAGCCCCAGGGGGAGTTCTACAAGAACCAAAAAGCCATCTGAACCTCAGCACGCTGGGCACACCTGTGGCAAGCCAACAGGGGGCGGCGGGTATAATCGCTTTCGGCCCATTCCGCCACCGTGCCTGGGTTGTGGGTCAGAGTCGTCCGGGATGCTTCTTCGAGTCTCGTCGAAGCGCTCTCGGAGGCGCCTGGGGAGCTATAGCCGACCTCCTATTCCTTCACCCGCCTTTTCACAGTTGCTTCTATTAGGGTGCTTTGCTTGGGTATTTCTGTCACTACGCAAGCATGTCTGGGTGGGGATTGGCGGTTTCGGTACCTTTTTTGCAGGGTGCGAGGTAGACGGTGTTTTGTCGATTTCGTGGACCGTTTTTGTTTTGATTTCGTTTTAGAGCAGAGGTGGAACGAAGACAGAACGAGGGAACACGAAGACAACACGGAAAACGGAAACTAGCGCCCTGCTTGGGTTCGGCCATACGTAATATTGATTTATGGTGTGGGCCCGCTGGGATCTTCCGATCGCCGAGTGCGATGCGATAGCAGCGGCTTGTTCGCTTGGGTTTGACGCCCCCCCCGCCCCCTACCCCCAAAGCTGCGCACCAGAGGTCACCCTTGTCTGGGGTCACTCTTGCGTGGATCGGGGAACTAACATTGGTATAAACAGTCGGGATAGGAAAACACACACACAGATACATTGAACCGTCGACTCCCACGGAATATGGGAAAAGATGGGAAGGGGGGGGAACCCCCTCCCCCAGAAGAAGTAGGAACATATGGGGGATCCTCGGATTTGTGTCTGTTTATTCGTGTGCCCCTGGGCCCCTCTGAGCAGACACGGGGAGGCGCCGGAGGCGCCGCCAGGAGGGCCCAGCGCCGATCCAGGCAGGTCCGCGCGAAGCTCCCAGAGGTTCTTTCTTCCTCCGGGTGGTCGTCTGCTTCGTTGTTGTGTTGCCGATCGGCGCAGGCTCTCGCCCTCCCCCCCCCCTTCCCTTCCCCCCCTCCATGGAGCAGATCTTGGCTGTTTCTGGCGCCTGCCTCCTAGCGGGTGGAGCCCCTCCCCCGCATGACGCACTGCTGCAAACAGTCAGGCTCCTTGTCGAGTGGCGTATAGAATGGGAAGGTCAGCTGGGCACGCAGAACGACAACCGCCCAAATCACCACTGCGTCGAGCAGA